GCGTTTCAATAAATTTACAATTCATGTTATAATAGCAAGAACTAAAACTGACATGAAAAGGAAATAAAAATATAGAAGGAAAAAAGAAAGAAAAGAAAACAATGTTTTGTTTGTGTCCTCCAGGTAACGCTTTGAAGTTGAATTTTAATAATTCGAATAAAAAATGACATCATTTTCAAAGCATCTTGAAATCGCTGGCGCCACAATTTCATTTGTTTCGTGACTCTACTTCACGCTTGGAAATTTTGACCTAAAATTCGGCCAACTTTTCGCGGCCGCGCGGAGGATTGGGTCCATGTGAATAATAATAAAAAAAAATGCCGGCTCAAAGGGTGGCTGACCAAGTGGAAATTATTAGTGGCATTAAAGGAGCATTAAATCGCCAGAAGTCGAATTTTTCCCGCCGGATTTCAAATGTACATAAGCTGAGAGATCTAGATCAAACTTTTCAACCGCTAGGGAAAGTGGCCGAGGCTGTTGTGAAGGGAAAATACGGTCTCCTTCGGGATCGATATCAGCATGAAATTTGTCCCATATCTTCCATGCTGGAGCGCACAATGATACGTGCTAAGAAAGGCATTTATCGCCGACTTAGTCCGCGGATGAGTAAAATCCATCCTTGGATGATTTGTTTTGACGTCCCGATGCCACAGGAAGTGTTCAATTTATTGAATAAAGGGGTTGTAAATCTTACACGTTTTGGTGTAGATGTTTTGGAGCAGCCTTATTCAGTCACAATAACATTCTCAAGTATGAAAAGACTGTGTGCCCCATTTAATAAATTTGAGGACTGCCAAGGATTCACAAAGAAGCTAGGAGTTGGAAAAGGGGAAGTGAACTCATTGTTGATGAAAGGAAGAATGGAATTATGAAATATAAATATAACGAAGAAATGTTGGAATTGAAATTCCATTATGGCCATTGGAATGCCTTTGGTATCCTTCATCATTGAAGAGGGAACAGTGTTTTCTATACAGTTACTAATGAGTTGAGGTAGCAACATATATATATATATATGTTGTAGTTAGTTTTTTTTTTTATCTCAAGTAATTTTTATTTTTCCTTTGTTTCATCTTTATTACCATACCTAAAAACCCTGAGTCGAATACCAATAAAGACAATTGGCAGAAGTCGCATTATCAACTTGGGATCATTTGAGTCACCCTGAATTGCTTTCACTAGATACATAAAGCCATGCGAGATTAGGCGGGAATCTTTACCAGTTAACCTGTAAGTGAAGTCTTTATCTTTAGCTCTATCCTCAAGGAGCCACCTACTAGTTGTTTTTTCATTCTCCCTGCTTTAACATCTTGTTCCATGGCCTTTAAATACCTGGACATTGCCGAATTGGAGGGCAATTCATCAAGGCTATTTAATTTTTTGGGGAGGTTACTTACAGAAATAGTAAGATCAAGTAACATTGCATGAAAATGTTGGACACCATTATTCTTAAGGTGAAGTGGTTCAACAACTTCCTTGTCACATAGCTTACCAATTAATGGTTTGAATTCTTGTCTGGATTTTTTTACAACAATAAATTGAGTTACTTTGGATCTCTTTGTTGATACTGCTAAATGACTAGGTATTTTTTTCTTGAAATCTTCAACCTGTTTTGCAACATTGCTTCTTTCTGCATACTGCCAAGGTTTCCACTTACAATCATGAGATTCTCCATACTTCCCATTCAGTGCATTACAGTCATCTTTGGAGACATTAGCAAAGCTAGAAAAATATTTAGCCGCATTACTTAATTCCCCATTTATATATGCAAGGAGTTTCATATCTCCTGGCAGGAGATCAAAAGAAAAGGTGACATTCTTACCCAATACTGTGTAAGATTTGCTCTCTATTTTTTCCATGTCTGTAGCAAGTTTCACTGTAAAACGAGAAACAACCATGTGGTCCTCCTTACAATTAGCTGCAAATAGCAAAAAATTGTCATTGGGACTAGCTACCCTGGGCCCCACATTCAAAAAACTTATCAGCCATGACATAGATTGATCCCATTTCCCAAAAGGAGCCCCATCACCCCCTATGGCAACCTTAAATGCTCCCTCCCTCTCACTGAACCACACGAGCTTATCCCCAGGTTTCCTGTACTGATCAGTCTCAAAATAGAACTTGGCCAGCAGAAGTAAAAAGTTCTCCAGGTTTCTATAGACCCCGTCAACCTGCTGATCAGGTGGAAGGTCATGGCATAGGGTTTCCCTTATTGAATAAAATTCCCCCACATCAATTTCTTCAATTTTTTTCATTAACAACCGATAGGGAAGGAGTTTAGGAATGGGATACCCATACCAAACAAAACTCTTTCTTTTGACACAGAACCTAGTTTCTTGGTGTGTTTCTTGGTATTTTTTATAACAAGGAGCTGATCTTGTTTGTTCATATTTTACCTTTCCCATCAATCCTCCTGCAATGACATTATGATCACTTTGCTCATACTGCTTAACCTGAAGTTTTATTACTGCTAGACTAGCTTTTCTCATCTTTTTTGATTAAGAAAAGTATTTAGATAGAGCTGCTGTCTTCGCATATTTAGTCAGCGTAGAAAACATGCCATCCAAGGCTGGGGACCTGTCTTCAACAGATCCACCATTTACCTCTGTTGCTGCAACCAACGTTTCAAGTTGTCTTCTGCTGGCATTTCGCTGCGGCACGTTTAGCTTTCCCTCATCAGTGAGCACAGTTGGACTTTTTTAGAGTGGATGTGTTAGCTGTCACTTCAAAAACTAACCTTCTTTTAGTCTTGACAGCGGGAAGATCAACTTTTACCGAATCAACATTTTCTTTTATGCGAGTTTTCTGCAAGTCCAAGAACTTAAGTTAACCCTTTAAGCCCTATGAATGATCAGCATCAAATTTCTCCTTGCAATATAAATACTTTGTTAAACAGAGTGGTCATGAGAATTGCGGACATGATCACACAAGATGAGTTTGCTTGATATTTTATCAACTTCTTCCCACTTCTTCTGTACGAAATGAATGTAGCGAACTTAACTTAGAGAACATTTACTCTGGAGTAAATTTTAGCGGATCGATGGAAAAATCGCAAAAATAAGAACCCGCAAAATTTTCGTGCCACACGGTAGTCCTCTCCTTTCACTAAAAAAAACCTTTTTCAAGCTAAACTTACCTTATTCTTGAGTCGCGGAAGCCTTTTTTTAAGGTACAAATTTCCTTTGATTTCGAAAGGTACTCCGCTCGAAGCGTAGCCCTCTGCTTACTGAGCTCCCCAACAGGAAAATTTGACTTGCATTTCTTCGATGTAGTGCTCTTTCTTCGTGACTTGCTCACCATGTAAACCGCTCAGCGAACCATATAAACGCAAAAATCTCTAAGAAGCAGAGGCATCCGGTAAAAAACCAAAACGAGGAAAACACAGCCGAGGTTTCAGGTCTTCTGTTTACGATAACATACCTGGCAATAATACGTTTCCCAGCGAGAAAATTTTCGACAAAAATACTCAATTTTTCTTGAAGGACTGAGAACTCAGTGTGCATGAAACAGAGAGTAAAAGTACAAGGAAAAATTTTGCAGAAGAAAGATGTAAACGCATGCAAATCGCATATCAACAGAAAGCTTAAAGCCTGTAGAAATTTGTTTTTGAGTGGGAAAAACTCCCCTAGTACCCATTCCTCCGCAAATGGCCAAATTCTGACCAGGACTCTTGAGCGAAAATGGCTGCCAAATGACCGCGCTATAGAACTGCTAATTAGGGACTGGAAACTGGGGACACTAAACTTGGCCAAACTTGGCACAAAAATTTCCAAGCGTGCTTTCTGAATCTAGTCTTTCTGGCTCCACTGACGAAGAAAACATATTTTCAACCAGAATGTCACGAGTCTGTGTTTTGAAGCGCCGCAGAAAATATACAAACAGCTGCAAAAATGCTAAGAGACACTCAGAAGAGAAACCTTTCAGGGCCCGCGCAGCGGTTCTTTTAAAAGGGCGGCTTCTGCTGGATTCAAGTGCGTAGCAGATGGTTGGTGGTGGTGGTTGTTGTTGGGATGCTGGAGATTGGGGATTGGTACGAGGGCATTTACAAGCCCTTTCACGAGATGGTTGATCTAGCTGTTATTAGAATGCTACGATACTATCGCCTAAAAGCTGATTGGAGTGTGTTGCACCATTGCATAGAAGCAGTCTGAAATTCCTTTCGCTCCACTAGCATGCGATTCCTTGTTCATCAGTTTAGATCAATAGACCTTTCCACGGTTTTTTCAACTTTTTTTTTATATAGACAAGTTAAGGAAAATCCGTCGACTTTGCTGAAAAGAGCGCCTTTACATTTAAATTAGTAAAATTGTCAAGTTCGAAAGTGAATTTATTGGAAACTAACAAAGATATAGCTCCTCTAGGTCGCGAAAATTTACAGACCTTTGTATATATGGTGGGGTACGAACACCAACATCTGTACATTGTTGCAACTTTATTTCGGAGTTATATCTGTGCTCGTTTTTAAAAGACGTAGGTCTGTCAAACTTCGCAAGTATATTCGTGGTAGAGGAATGCCAGGAATTTAATAATACTAAAGATATAAAACAATGAATAAAGTTAACCTCCCAAAGTTTAACATTTATTTTGTTGACTACAATATTTTTTCCGGGAGTCTAAAGGGATTAGGAATGGCTGTAATTTACACTAAAGCAAATTTAACAACTATGTGAACAATTATAGTAATTAGGAAGTTAGAATGGAGATACAGTGTGTGTATCTTGAAATAATTATCCTCTAAAATAATAGGCTCCTACTCCTAACACGAGTCGTAATAATAGAACCTCGATCCGGTAAAAAGCCTCTTTATAACGAAGTCTTCAATCAGCATATTAACCAACGATATTCTAATTCTTCGCCCTTAAGTGCATTTTCTAATAACACTAGCAAGCATGCATAAAAGATTACAAATATTTTCAGCCTCCTTGAAAATTCTGGTGTCACAGAATAATACCTTAATTTAATGATGTTTTCACTTTGAGTCCAGCCTGTAGGAATGCCTTTTAAGTGACATTCAAGTGTCTACAGGGGTCATACATCTGTCGTGCAAATGGTTTGTCATAACCAATAACTGATCGCTCTGATCTTGGCGATGTACAGTAGGATTTGCTTCTCGAATCTGGTCTTTCAATTCTCATGTTGCTTGACCCCAATGCGATTGAATCGTGATTGGCCGTGTGTGATGTTCCAATGCTTCTCGCTGCTTTCCAATTCTTCTTTTTTCGGAAGTATGCCGCTTGCACGTCAGCATTCCTCAGAACGTGAAGTATGAAAATTAACAAGCCCTGGAAAATAAGCAATCAGCAGAAACGAACTTAGAACTCGGAAGGATTATTAGTAAATGTAAAGGGCACTTGGAAACATTACTGTGCAACAGAAATCATAAATTATGACCTGACTTGAGACATTTCGATGGCCAAAATTTCCGACGCACTCTTTTCTTGTAATGTTGTATAGTATTAGATATTTTCATATCGCATTAAAGCAATCCAAGATGGCAGATCTAAGCAGTTTTTGCCGTGACGTATATCCCACGTTACACAAACGGGCTTGCGCCATGTGATTAACGTTTTCTCTTAGTTATAACCGTACCTACAAGTTTTATTTACGCCTGTCTGCAACAATCTAGCAACTACATGTTGGGTGGGCAGGCAGAATTCCGTCCCTTTCTTTCTTTTTCTTTTTTTTTTTCCAGCAACACTTTATTTCATATTTACCGTGACAAAGAAAAGAAATTACAATTTACAAAAGTTATTGAAAATTACAATTTAAAATTATCTTTACCCTTATACATGAAAAATCAGTAACTCTTTTATTCATTTATTTTTAACATAACATAGGATGGTAAGTGACGAAAACTATATTTGCTAATTGATTAATTATTGCTCATCTATTCGCACACGTATCCACAATGGCTTAGAAAAAAAAAAGAAAACAAAACGAACAGACAAACAAACAGACAGAAAAGTTAAACAGGACAGTTAAAGTATTAAATCTTTTAATCCCCTTCCCCATCTTTGATGACAAAGAGGTCAGGCCTGTGATAATATATCAACAAGTGTCTGCCACTCTGGTCCAATTGACAAGATCGGGATATCATTACGTAATTTTTTCACTTTCCTGGAAGTGAGACGTTACCTGTAATGAGTTGAAAATGGTAAAGATGTACTGAAACACGAGTCCAGCGTCTGTGACGCTCAGAATACCAAACACCCAGGTCAGTCCCAGAAGAGGAAACAAGACTGCACATGCCTTAACACCTTTTCGAACTTTTTCTACTTCCGAGGTTTTCCCGCTCTGCATTTTAACGATTTCGTTAACCACTCTGCCAAGAAGAACTGTATTCATCTGTTTGATGAGAAACGAAAGGAAGAGACTTTAATTAAAAGGATGAAATGACAGATTAATTGATCAGTGAAAACTTTCGGAGTTTCTTTAATTTGACAATTTGATCACAAGCCAAGTTCTTCAAAATGATGAAGTAACATAATTACTTTATAATACAGTTTGGTGAGATAGTATTTTATGTTTCTGCATGGTAACTCACCGAACAAACAACGAGAACTGGAGTAACAAAGGTCCATATGAGGTTATTGGTGAAGGAAACCCAGCAGCTATATTAGAGAAGACAGGGAAACACATTTTGTTGTTGTTGTTTTTTAAAACAGTAGAAGTTAATTCCAATAAATAAGTCGTTGTCAAAAACTGCATAAGAGCTGTTAAAATATCAATAAAAGTATTTATATTGCTATATATGAAAAAAGCTTGGCCAAAATTATACATTAGATGAAGTCTTCGCTATGACGTGCTGCGATTCCACGTTCTTGCCTTTAGCATCCATATCTTGGAACAGCGTTACAAATGCTGGGCATGAGAAAACATTGTTATTATTATATATTCGTTTCTGATTGACTCAAATCTACCGGTTAATTCTTCATAACCAGCTAGCGTTCCCAACAAAATTTGGAAGATGTTTGTGATATCACCGGTAAAGTGACATCAATAGAATAGGCTGTCACCAGAAAAAAGGGACAGCAGTCGAGAAGCCCTGGGTACGATGTTGCGTCAGCTCACATGTTTTGCGAAGAAGTAGCTGAACTTAACTGCCTCATGATCAAAGGAGGAACAGCAAATTAACAACTCAACGGATGACAGCTGATATTTGAAGACTATCTGGAAGACTAAATATCCAGTTTATATCCTGAATTTTCCAAGGAAGAGACAAATGATGACTGGAACTTAACCTCGATCGAGGTATTAGCATGTTGAAATTAAGAATTATTTTGAACGAATAATTAACGAATAATTCGGCTTTCTTATGATCTGAAAAATTATGGAGATCTTGAAGAGTGTTATCCGCCTTGACCTTTAGCCTCGTGAGATAAATACCTTCTCGATGGCGATCTGCATGATTCTTCAGGCCATACGGAAGTCGAATGCAATAATTGCTAAAAGTGCTTGTTTACTGTGGCCAAACGTCTCTAACTTATGTCTTTCAAAGAAAGTGCCTTGTTTACTTACAAGTCGCCATGAACATATCCATGTATTCCACCATCTTGAGTAGAGGCAATCAGCATCGATAGCAACACAATCAAAAGAGGAAGGCCTGAAATATGACAGAAATGACGAAGTATTATACACTCTAAGACCGGCTGAAAATTGGTTCCAGTTTCTTTTGAAGAATTTTTATATAATAGCAAAAGGAAAAGGCGTACCTAGAAAATTTCCATAAATACTCACAGTTTTCTAACTGTACCCTAACACGTATCCCTAATTGTTTTTGGGCGGGGAACTTGACAAAATTTCTCTTTCCTCTCGGTATGATGAGATAATAAGCCTCAGAGAACAGCAGACATTTCGCGACGCCATCCGACTGGTTTCCACGCGAAATGACGTCTGAGCAAAGAGCGTAGAAATTCCATACTGATGACAGGTCACTACCAAGATCTGGGTAGTGCGTATGATTGGATAAAGTAAATTTTCAACCAATCAGAAGCACTATCCAGATCTCTGTAGTGACGTGTCAGCAGTATGGAGTTCTGCGCTCGTTGCTTGGATGTCATTTCGCGTGGAAACCAGTCGGATGGCGTCGCGAAATGTCGGCTGTTTTCCGCGCTCAGGCCATGAGATATCAGTATTTCAAGCAGCATATTACAACTTGCACGTATGGCAAAATCAGATTAAAAAAAATACCGCATTTTGTTTGAAACAAGAACAAACAGAAAGAGAAGGAATGCTAAATTCCACAATATTCTGTCTTCAATGGCTGACACTCGAGTAACGTAACTCATCACCTGCCTATTGTTTCTATTTTCGATGCTTCCATAACAATACTTCATTCAGTTCAGATCCGTTTGGTACTTATCCCAGGCCACTGCATAGAAAAGGCGCATATATATATATATATATATATATATATATATATATATATATATAGCCGATTTTTTTAAAACCAACCTAACGAAATCTGATGTCATTTGAGTGAAAAGCCGTCAAAAGGCAGGTTTTTTAAGGCCGATAAGCTCCAAAATCACACCAACAAAGGAAAAGGAAAAGAGAAAAAGTAAGAGCGAGGAGGAAGAAAGGAGGACAAGAGAAAAAAACAATGGTTTCACTCTTAGTTTTTATAATGGCTACTTTTTTTGGCCGAAAAAAAAAAAACTGTTGGACGGAAGAGGTCTATTTGGCGATAACGTTTTCAAAAATCCGGCTAGATATATATTAAGAAGTTAAGCGTTTATTGAACCAAAATTACTTCACATCATGTCACACGTTTTAAAAAGAAACGATTTTTAATTCAGTCTATGAACAAACAGAAAGAGAAGGAATGCTAAATTCCACAATATTCTGTCTTCAATGGCTGACACTCGAGTGACGTAACTCATCACCTGCCTATTGTTTCTATTTTCGATGCTTCCATAACAATACTTCATTCAGTTCAGATCAGTTTGGTACTTACCCCAGGCCACTGCATAGAAAAGGCGCATTTTGATCTCTGTATTAAATACTTTTACCACCATCAGATACAGGTAAACACCCTCAAACAACATCCAGGCGAATGCCACCAGGTAGAAGTAATGAATCAGACCCGCCACAAAGATACACAGTCCCTGTGGAAATTCAACAGAAAAAAAAAGGCATAACGATTTCCTTTTGAAAGAATTTTAAACACTGTCATGGCTCAAATTATGGCAAATTTCATGGAAGAGTGCGACGTCGCAATTTCTTTGTTTTTTCCTCACCACTGGGCTTAAATTTGGCAAATATTCAAATTGGTTATAATAGTAACAGGATTCTAACTTCTGTCCCAACTAGAATATCTTTGTGATACTGTATTTATGTAAATAAAGTGGAATTTATTACTGTAGCAGAAAGTTGGACTCAAAACTCTCCTATAGCCAACATGAAACGACCCACCAAGGCTGAACAGGTACCTCTAAAGCTGATGCTTCAATTCCTGCAAGGAAGGTGATTTGGGCGATTGCTATGGCAACGACGAGGTTGAAGCGAATTTGAATCTGCTCCTCTTTTAAATTCCTAACAAAATAACAAGGCAAGGTAAAGATAGCATGGCCATTTTTAAATGACTCATTTCCAAGAGATTATACAGCCTGTCATATTGTGCATAGGCATAGAAAAAAGAACTCACATGAGAATCCAGTACGCAACAATTGCAAGTGCTTCTCCTACTAGCGACAAGGCACAGCCAACGTAAGTGATTACTTCCAAAGCATCTTTATGGCCTGAAGGAACCTTTGAAAATGAAGAAAATGAAATACATCATGTGATGTGGCGAAAACGTAATACTTGATTTGCTCAAGTAAGTTTTCTAAATTTTCTTATTTCTTTAATAAATAAAACTACATGTTACTCAATTCTACTCTAGTTTTAAGAATAATTTAATGATAATAATAATAATAATTATTATTATTATTATTATTGCGTAACATTTTAATCACGGTAAGTACGTACGAACTTGCTTTGTTTAAATAACTTAAGTTCA